AGGGGTATCCAGGGAAGAATACATTACCAGCACAAGAATGGATTGCTGTAAAAGGCGATTAAGGTGTAGACATGGGTGATCCCAGGCGCTGTTGAGTGTGAGAGGGAGTGTGGTGGTTACAGCTCAGTCTTTTCGAAGACCCGAGTTCGATTCCTCATGGGATAAAAAGTGGATTCCCGATATGATACAATTTGCAAAGTCTGTTCTTGATGGTCCCGGCTGATATATTGCTGATATATTGCTAAACATGCCCTAAAAAAATACTGTTAGGTGTGAATTGAATTTGGATAGATAGCTGTTCGAAAGACCATCTGAAAGACCATAGTAGACCTTTCAAAAAGTATAAATACGTCGGAAGAGTATATATGCGGTAAGGTCTACCAACCGCAAATGAATTGCAAAAGGATTCCAAGTTGGCTAAGTGTAATATTGTACTCATATGGCATGTATGAATATAGAATATTGCCACTTGATTGGCTACACACAGAGGATTCCACATATCCTGCTTCATTCAATCTTTGAGGTGGCAACCTGGTTAAAGTTGGTTGGTTAGTTGGTTGTTCAACGCCGCACTCAGCAATATTCCAGCTATATGACGGCGGTCTGTAAATAATCGAGTCTGGACCAGACAATCCAGTGATTGATATCAAGAGCATCGATCCACGCAATTGGAATTGATGACATACATCAACCAAGTCGCCTTTTACGGCAAGCATGGGTTGCTTAAGACCTATTCTACCCCGGATCTTCACGAGTCACCTGGTTAATGTGTTCGCTCGCCTCACCGAAGATAACGTTTCCATTCCAAACTTGGGTAATTCTATGAAGCCCATTCCTAGTGTTCTCTGTAATATTGTTGGAGGAGAGTGAGTGAGTGAGTGAGTGAGTGAGGCTTTATGCCGCTTTTAGCAATATTCCAGCAATATCACGTCGGGGAATACCAGAAATGGGCTTCACACAATGTACCAATGTGGGAACTCGAACCCGGGTCTTCGGCGTGACGAGCGAATGTTTTAACCACTGGGCTACCCCACCGCCCATTGTTGGAATAGAGCTTGCATTCCCCCTCACTGACAATCCAGCTAGAATACAATAAATATCCCTGCTTCTTGCAGTTATATCTATATTTATTTCTTATATATTCAAACAGCTGTTGTCATTCGTGGATTAGTTCTAGACATAACGACATCTATCTTTGATCAGACATTAACATGAACACTTCAGAACATGAAACAAAAAATCTGTAGGGGATGGTCATTGTATCACTACTGTAAGAATATCTATCCAGTATAAAACATAGACCTTTAATTAATCAGGGAAGGGTTTATGTTTGTGCACGGTCTCCGCGTTCAAAGCTTGAATAAATCCAAACAAAATGCCCGTACGGTCCCGAATGGAAATTTAACGCCTGACTGGCTTCCCCAGGTCAGGACTGGGTCGATACCGTACATCACGCGGTTTGTGAAGCACAACCATTGAGACTTGGCAGTCAATACCATATGCTGGACATATGCCACACTTATTCCTTTAAAAACATTGCATAACTGAATACACTATAGCTGTATATTTATGCTTTCAAATACGTAAATGCGTCTTACTGCTGGCAAAGTTATGTTTTTAAATTGTGTATCTGCGTCCTCGTTTATCTTGATTTGTATAAATGTCAAACATACAAAATAATGATTTTCGATAGTCCTGGTTGGTGATCAACTATGGCTGCCCGCGCGACCTTACTGTTCAAAATAGCTAGGTTAATACCTATTCGAGTCGATCTACCCTATGTGAGCACAAAGCACATTAAAAAGGTCAAGGTCACATAACATCTGTTTCAGTCGACAACTGTGACATTTTCATTTTACAAATGTATCCAATAATTAATAATATCAGTCTCTATTTATATCAATAATATATATCTACATATAATCAGAAAAATAGATGGTTTTGAAATTGGCAAAATAACAGTGAATGATATTTCCTTAGTTAACAAAGTGAAACTTATATAGCTCAGCTTCGGTCTCGCTACAGCGAAGCAGACGACATTTTTTCCTCCTTCACCTTCCCGCCAAATAACGTGACAATAGATCGCATGATCATACCTAGTGTCGGGGATGTGTTTCCTACTTCTATTAATATAACGCTCAAAACTGGTCGCTCTACTCTCTGTTTGAACAACAGATTTAAAAACGCACCCTCACATGCCGCAGTTGCCAGTCACGTGTTAAAGCGCCTCGCTTTATATTGTTTGGCCTGTCGGCCGAACCCCACCCCATATCACACTCCCCTCACGTCGTACTTTTTGTCACAATATATTTTCAGTACACAGTCCGTTAACGGGAGCAAAATGCTATCCATAGTAAAATCAGTCAAAGAGCAGACGACATTCGCCATGGCGATAGATAAATGTGCAAGCTTGACTTTCTCTGCTGAGCGTGTTGTTGACATAGGGCTGATTACAACAAAGTAGTACCATGGTGCAGAGGATATTGATTTCAAACGTTCTACTTCACAAAATCATCCTGTAGTAATCAAGCTTACCGTCCGTGTCCTCATGGTTGCTCGCCAAGAGCAGCTTGCCGCCAAAACACAGAGACACTGTCCTCTTGTGACCTCAACAGAATATGCAGAAAACGTCACAATTTTCCGTGCACCTGCTAACTCGCTGCTTCCTGTATACTGGAGTATCTACCTGAGTGTTGTCACACAAGGAATCACACCATTCACACCTACACCGGTCTAGGATTGGGATCCTCAATGACTACATGCAGGTCTCATAGTCATCAAGTGACATTCACTAGGCGTGTGAGTGTTAGTAAAACCGTGTCAAAAGAGACCGACCTACCCTATCCATCATGTCCCGCTTTCCACTTTTGTCTGGACACAGCTTGTCCATTGATGGTCCGGGTTAAGTGTTATACAACTCAAAACTGAGGCAGTCAGAGACTAATTATGCCCCCTAACTATCCAAACCAACAAGCGCCAGTTGCCAAAAGCTTCACGAACTTAAATCATTATATTTTTACATCGTCCTTACTGTGAGGCAGTGTCCCGCTATAGTGCGTACCGTGTATTTGCGGTTGTATAATTTGGGGACATGGTTACACCATTACAGGGGCTGAATGAAAGCGACCGTTTAGATAAATATATAAGCAGCCTATACAAATTTGTTCAACATGACATTTTCAAAACTCAATATATTAAGTAAAAGAAGAACAACTTTATGACATACAGGCTTTTCGTAACTCGTATATCAATGTACTATTTATTTATTTCATTTACCCAATTATGTCATATAAGGTGTGACGTATATATTAAACTCAGATTATTATGAGTATCATAATACTAATATTTGATTACTTCAATTAAAGAAGGACAAGCGACTCGTGTCCATCCTTACTCTTGATTTTACAATTAACGTTATGTGTAACACTAAGACAATGCTGTATAATTAGGGTAATAGCTAACTAATAAATCGGTATATATCCCAAAATCATGAGTAAGCAGACACACCAACAGTAATTTCAATGACCCGAATCAAACTTGCAAGGACTGCCAAATTGGCACGAGCCTCGTCTCCCTTAATACATTTAACGTTGTACAATTTTGGAAGATACCCACCTACACAGAATCTACCACACAGATTTCTGGTTTAACTTCGTGCTATCGACATGTTTTAGTAAAAGCCATAGTATGGTCCGAGCAGATAATCAGAAAGTCTAGTCGTGTAGTGTAGACAGTCCACAACAAAACCCTGGGTCAATTGCTCCAGGTCATCAAATACCTGGCGGGCAGTAATGAACAGGGTGTCATAGCAACGGCTAAATGGCGGAATTGCGGTTCAGTGGGGTGGATAAGCCTTGCAAACGGTGTGGTCTTGGGCCGCTACCCATGATAGATTTTGCCACATAAGCTGATACTGAAACTGGCCTTTCCAACCAGACCACAAACGAGCACCATTAATAATAGAACACAGTATTAATACGTCTTATACATAATGTTTGAAACACACGAATCCATGGATGATATTTGTGAAACAGTAAAAAGAATTATTACAAAGTATATTCTTAACAAAGCAAAATTGTTCCATGACATTTACAAAACCTTCCAATGAAGTAACCAGACCTTTTTTCGATATTTTTATGTTACAGATTAAACAAAGCGTCTTGTCTAACACATACATTCATTTCAAAATGCAAATATACACTCAGTCCTCAGACATTCAACAGTTAAACATTAAAAGTTTAAAAACGGTATATGTACGTCAATTTAAAAGCGATTTTGGAATTTGTCGAGTAATATCACGATGGGGAACACCATTAATGGACATCACAAGTACATTCGGGCAACTAAACCTGGGTCTGAGCCATAACAAGCACTGGGCTACTTATCTCCTCTGGAATAAAGAACCAGGGATTCCTTTACTGAATAGACATTTTAACATACGTAATAGGTACCGTGTATGTGCATGCGTCTGCAAAACATATTGATCAATGATCATATCAAATATACACCAGTTCTTCTTCAATTTAACAGGAAGATTCAGTAGCCAGCTCACTGAGAACGGTGAGGATGTAAAAATGTTTTCATCCATAAACACTTCGATGGAAAATGCTGGCATATTGGCTTCCAGTGTTACCGGGGTTGTGCACAGTAACCTGCAGCTGCACCTGATGAAACGAATAATCAATATGTCTGATATGTACGACAGACATCACAGACATATGATATTCTGTTCTGGTTGCCGATGCTGCTGATTCGAAATTCCCCTACGCATTGTAATCAGTGTAAATATACACCAGCGACACAGACATCAGACGTTTAATTCTTCATAAAATTGCAAATAATTCTATTATCGAAATGTTAATTCCATTCATAAAGCAGGCGTGCGTTATCCCCTGCAAACATCCTTTACTTCCTCATTTCTGCAGTATGGACAATACCTTCAATAGATCATATTATTTTTCTAAAATATCATTTCAGGGCTTGTACAGCATGGCACTTACCCTTTGAAAACCATCGTGATGCCACATTGTTGGCTCTGCACATCATGGTAATGATATCCCACTAGAAACAACTCAGCCCATCTCTCCAATGGAAGCCAGCGTGTTTCTCTTACTTAATCAGTTCCTGACGTCAACCGCGGGTCTTTCAAAGTGACCTCGATCCCGAGTAAACTTCATCAACGGGTATTCATGCAGAGGAATGGGATTCTTTGTGTAGTATGAACGAGAGGGCAGCTTCACACAGAGAAAGGGGAACAAACTCCCGGAGTAATAATGCATGAGGGTACGGTTCACTGTGACTGATAATAAGGTTACCTGGGAGGAGCGTGGCTGGAGGCAGAATTTCTGTGGTGATTGCACTGGGATTCGATGCAGGAGCTGTAACTGAAGTGGAGTGCCGTGTAACCTATTATTATATCAGACGGCATTACGCATGTATTGATAACTGCACTGCAACATGTTCGATGTCGACGTTGTCATGGAGTGAATTGGTTTTTTTCCCGAAGTTCAGTTGTATCATACTCAACTCTGAAAACAGCATGTGTTGAATGCATTTGAGATTAAGTCAATCTCACAGCTTGAATGCATGACTGTATTTATGAGTTGCATTCAGGGATACATATTAAAGTGCATTGTCAGAGGCGGAATTGATCGTTTGTACGAGTTTTACTCTTAATATGCATTGATCGTTTCTTTTAAAGCTACACTTTTATTGGGTGCAGTGGTATTAACAAAATACAGCTGCTTGTATGGCAATGCTTTCTTGCAATGTGACACACTAAATTAATACTTTCAGCACCTCAGTCCATTTTTTAACAAAGAGTGGGCGCATTGCTTTTTCATAAACATTGTGGTTTACGCTAATGTGACTATAGATTATAGGTGCATCGTGATCGTCAAACAGCTTCTTTTGTATTGCATCTAAATGTGGCATTGTTTCCCCCAGTAGAAAGGCATTAAATGTGCTCATAAAAGCATACCGTCTGCTGCCAACCTGGCAAGCAGGCACAGATTGACAACGTCACAGATTGACAAATTCACAGATTGATATTAGAACGCACATGCATCTATAATATACCAAGTGGCTTCTACAGGGCATATCATATTTAGGTCGCTATAACTTGCAGTTTGAAAAGTCACCACTGACACGTATGGACCTTCGTTATTTATTTTTTTGGTACCTATACCCTACAAAAACGTCTTAAAAATTTAAAATATCACATAGATCTATATGTTTTGTTTATTGTTATAAATAGCATCCAGCGTTTCACAGTACGTAAACACTCTGAAGCAACGCCAAGATAAATATGTCCTTGTTTTCTCTTAAAACTACCCATGCGTCATATCGTTATTATACTCCCATTACCCTAAGGCTGTAACACTGGTGTATTTGATGTATGAGAAGATATGAAGTCACCTCACTCAGCCTAACGTCCCCCACCAACGTTTGACTCAGGGCCAACACTATATTTGCTGCAACTAATTTGTCGCAATTATCGTCATAAATATACTTGCCCTTACATCAGTAGCACCTGCCAAAGACACAGCACTAAGAACTGTCTCTGGGTTCCATGTCTGATACGTCGAACCAGAAGGAATTGGTCGGAGCCATGCAATGAGTGCAAGCATTATCCTCAAAGAGAATCACTATATTATAAGAAAAATAAGCAATAAGTTCTAATTTGATGATAAGGGTTATCAAATGGTATGCTTGTTGGGTTATATTGTATTACAGTGGGCCCTCATGTACACTAAATGAGACAATTTAGTTCGAGGTCCAATACAATAGTGTTGCATACAAAGTGGCCTACTCGTATTGAAATACAGAAACAGTCATTGGTTACCTCATCACATGTTATGTATTAGCTATTGGACTACCCTTTCAGTTGCTTCTTATCCTTCTCTGTGTCAGTTGCTTCTTACCATTCTGTGTCAGTTGATTCTAATCCTTCTCTGTGTCAGTTGTTTCTTAACCTTCTGTGTCAGTTGCTTCTAATCATTCTGTGTCAGTTGCTTCTTAACCTGTGTCAGTTGCTTCTAATCCTTCTCTGTGTCAGTTGTTTCTTACCATTCTGTGTTAGTTGCTTCTAATCCTTCTCTGTGTCAGTTGCTTCTTAACCTTCTATGTTACTTGCTTCTAATCCTTCTCTGTGTCAAATGTTTCTTACCATTCTGTGTTAGTTGCTTCTAACCCTTCTCTGTGTCAGTTGCTTCTTAACCTTCTCTCTCAGTTGCTTTGTACCCTTCTCTGTGTCAGTTGCTTCTTACCCTTCTCTGTGTCAGTTGCTTCTTATTCTTCTCTGTTTCAGTTGCTTCTTAACCTTCTGTGTCAGTTGCTTCTAATCCTTCTCTGTGTCGGTTGCTTCTTACCCTTCTCTATGTCAGTTGCTTCTAATCCTCTGCCAGTAGCTTCTTACCCTTCTCTGTGTCAGTTGCTTCTTATTCTTCTCTGTTTCAGTTGCTTCTTAACCTTCTGTGTCAGTTGCTTCTAATCCTTCTCTGCGTCAGTTGCTTCTTATCCTTCTGTGTCAGTTGCTTCTTACCCTTCTTTGTGTCAATTGCTTCTAATCCTCTGCCAGTTGCTACATATCCTTCTCTGTGTCAGTTGCTTCTTATCCTTCTGTGTCAGTTGCTTCTTACCCTTGTCTGTGTCAGTTGCTTCTTACCATGCTGTCAGTTGCTTCTTACCCTTCTGTGTCAGTTGCTTCTTATCCTTCTCTGTGTCAATTGCTTCTTATCCTTCTCTGTGTTAGTTGCTTCTTATCCTTCTCTGTGTCAGTTGCTTCTTAACCTTCTCTCTCAGTTGCTTCGTACCCTTCTCTGTGTCAGTTGCTTCTTACCCTTCTCTGTGTCAGTTGCTTCTTATTCTTCTCTGTTTCAGTTGCTTCTTAACCTTCTGTGTCAGTTGCTTCTAATCCTTCTCTGTGTCGGTTGCTTCTTACCCTTCTTTATGTCAGTTGCTTCTAATCCTCTGCCAGTAGCTTCTTATCCTTCTCTGTGTCAGTTGCTTCTTATTCTTCTGTGTCAGTTGCTCCTTACCCTTATCTGTCAGTTGCTTCTTACCATTCTGTGCAAGTTGCTTCTTATCCTTCTGTGACAGTTGCTTCTTATCCTTCTCTGTGTCAGTTGCTTCTTACCATGCTGTCAGTTGCTTCTTACCCTTCTGTGTCAGTTGCTTCTTATCCTTCTCTGTGCCAATTGCTTCTTATCCTTCTCTGTGTTAGTTGCTTCTTATCCTTCTCTGTGTCAGTTGCTTCTAATCCGTCTCTGTGTTAGTTACTTCTTACCCTTTTATGTGTCAGTTGCTTCTCATCCTCTGTGTCGGTTGTTTCTTAACTTTCTGTGTCAGTTGCTGTGACCCAGTACTTGAGAGGAATATATAATTACCAACTGACCAAGAGGCATCTACTCTATATATCTTGGACATGTATCAACATTAAATCAATGTTCTCATGTGTCTATATTTGCAACATATACATGGAATTTCGGGTCCTTTAAAAAAATGAAGCTTAAAATTCAAAAGATTTCCAGGTAGGTGTATATGTCATCCTCAGTGAATATCAACTCGCGCCATTGATTAGCCTCACCATGCATGTGTGAATACGCCACGTATAGATACCAACAGCATGAACAAAACACAGGCAAACTTTGCCAGATACAAACTCCATTGCCACAGATACCAAGCACTACATCTGTAACCGACGACTGGGTGATGGATACGTCCAGTGTGTATTGATTGTATTATGTGCTTACTGAGGAAAACACTTAAAGTGATGAACTTGCACTGACTCACATAATGTCATACATTAATGATGAGGAGCGGGCGTATGTATCAATATGCTGCTTGTCTGGGGAGTGCTATGCAGTCAATACACTGTACACACATACTGACGTTAGAGGCTGATGATATTTCTGTCTTTGGTAGTGCGTAAGTCTATATATTTCCCACTGTAAACACTATGAGTCATTGTTATACTTATGTTTTCAGAAACATATTTTATTTACACACATAAAAGTGACAAAGCCCTTTTCATAACCTTACGAATTTTTGCTGAAAGCAGGTTCAATTGTACGATTCTGGCGACACCATAAGCATGTTATAATGAATCACTATCAAATAGTGATTATACCAGGTGGATGGTAAAAGGTCAGCGTATTACTGGTCACTGATGCGTACAATTTGGAATGTTATATGATCATTATATCAATATTATTATGTTTGTTATACATGCAGCATTACAATGCACTAATTCTGTGAAATGTCTAAACAGCTTTGCCCCCTCACATTCTGACAGATGTACTAACAAACATGGTGCAATCAAGGCCTAAGTAAGCTGTCTTCGCGCATGGGTGTATTCTGTTCAGAAGCGTCTAGGAAGGTGAGAGTGTATTATGCATTTCACCTTGGGGCTTCAAGGTAACCGTTTAGGATTAAGTATGTTATGATCTGCCTCAGGCTGTGTATAAATGAGCTTTCACACAGACACTGCCATGTTTCAAAAATTCAAACCTGCGTTTCTCATTTATCAAAATGAACGTGCGTGTAGTTTTCCACGAGGTACACGAGTAACAAACCATATCAAAATTATTTATGCATCAAACATCTACTGTTATACATGGTTGTGTTAATACTTAACGGTACGTGGCTCAAGACAATATTAGTATCGATAAAATATGAGAGTTGTCTCCCTTTGATCTATGTTGAACCACAGCCTTAGATGCAATTACGAAAGAAAGCGATTATGTCAGCATTTGACTGTTCCCCGCTTGGTGTGACGCATTAATACTGGGAGACACGTGTCATGAACCACCTGTATGAGTTTATGTATGGTATATTTAGGCCAAATATTTCTTTTCACATTTGATGCACTATGTATAAGGGCCTTAGTGGCCCAGTCGTTAAAGGAATACGTGTGCGGAGTTGCGTCCCTCAGGCGTGCCGGATACATGTAGCTGTGACGTTGGTTTCAAATCCTGGATTGTATCTAATTATGGTAATTATGTTTCTAGGTTTCTGAGCACCATACCCGTGATCCTGGGTGGCACCGAAGTGGTAAACGTCTAAGACCTGCATCAGTTCAGGCGATCCTCATAGACGATATCAAGCTAACATGCTAATAACGTTCAAAGCGGCGTTAAACCAAACTCACTCACTCGCTACATTATTTAGTTATGTGTTTGTTTGTTGTTTAACGCCGCACTCAGCAATATTCCAGGCTATATGACGGCGGTCTGTAAATAATCGAGTCTGGACCAGACAATCCAAT